GCGCGCGCATGCGGGTACATGTTTGGGTCGTTTTTATTTCCTGCGAGGAAGTGCATGCGTATCACGTTTTCCCTCCCCTCCGGAGCCCTGAGCCATATCTCACTTCCGTTTGGCGACGCCTGCAGGCTGCATGTGCAGGCGGCGCGCGGGGTTAGGCCCTTGTCTCGGGTCGGCCCCGGCTCGGGCCCCGGCCGCCAGATGGAGGCACCGGTCCACTGCTGCCCCCTCCCCTTCCCTCTTTCTTTTGATGTTGTTGTGGGGCGTTATCTCATTCGCATCCGAGTAAAACGCTCGCATCAGTAACAATTGACAGGATTAGCGTCGCTCTTTCATTAGGCCATGAATAGACTTCTTCTATGCACTTTCTGACAGTTGTCTCGCTTCTCTCCCCATCTCAGTGGTTTTCGGTTGATACTTTAAAGCTTAAGAAAAAGTGTTTTACTAGAAAGAAACTATATAGTTAATAGATTACACTTCTACAAATTTATTATGCAATGTTTTCCAATAATTGTCATGCCAATCTGCTCTAACGAGAATGTGCCCTTTTCTGTTCCAGCGCTATGACGTGAGCGATGGCTGCGATGGCGGTGCTGGTGGCGCTCTGCGCGCTGCTCCTGTTGCACCACCCGACCGTCGGAGATGACATCCTGGTCAAGACGTTCTCGGACCAGGGCACGGAGCGGTTCAACCACCTGGTCGTGGACAAGAACACGGGCCGCGTGTTCATCGGCGCCGTGAACAAGCTCTACCAACTGTCGCCCGACCTGGACCTGGTGATCGCCGAGACCACCGGGCCCAAGGATGACCACCCGGACTGCTCAGTGCTGCTGGACTGCCCGGCCAACATCGTGGTGAAGGCGACCGACAACGTGAACAAGGCCCTGGTGATCGACTACACGACGACGCGCCTCATCTCGTGCGGCTCCGTGTACCAGGGCATCTGCCATGTGCGCAACCTGCACAACATCTCGGACGTGTCGCAGATCGTCAAGGAGGCCGTCGTGGCCAACAACGCGACGGCGTCCACCGTGGCCTTCATCGCACCCGGGCCGCCCAACCCGCCCGTGTCGCAGGTCATGTACGTCGGCGTCACGTACACGGGCAACTCGCCGTACCGGTCCGAGCTGCCCGCCGTCAGCTCGCGCTCGCTGGACGCCAACAACATGTTCTCGATCGCGGAGACGGCCGTCACCACGGGCACCCGCCAGTTCCTCAACTCGCTGGCGCGCGAGCGCTACCCGATCCACTACGTGTACGGCTTCGCCAGCGAGGGCTTCTCGTACTTCATGACGGTGCAGATGAAGAACACGTCGCCGTCGCCCTTCATCTCCAAGCTGGTGCGGGTGTGCCACGACGACGAGAACTACTACTCGTACACGGAGATCCCCATCGAGTGCGAGCTCGCCAACTCGGCCGGCAAGAAGTACAACCTGGTGCAGGCCGCCTACGTGGGCAAGCCCGGCTCGGACCTGGCCGGCGACCTGGGCATCACGGCCCAGGACGACGTGCTGTACGCCGTGTTCTCAGAGAGCGACACGAGCGAAGGCGAGAACTCCATCAAACCTTCGTCCAGCTCGGCGCTGTGCGTGTACTCGCTCAAGAGCATCCGCAGGAAGTTCATGCAGAACATCAAGAGCTGCTTCTCCGGCAACGGCACCCGCGGCCTGGACTTCATCTCCCCCAGCCACCCCTGCGTCCTCACGGTGAGTCCGACTGCTATATTCTCCGCATTTTTCGCGCGAACTGCGCTCAGCGTGGCGTGCACGTGCCTGTCCACGTGTGCAGAGACACCGCGCGCGCGCCGTGTATTTCCATTGAGTGAGCCGAACCCCCCCGAATGAAATTACCTGGACACGCACCTGGACGGGGTCCGGCGGCCTGACCCTGGCCGGGCTTGTAAATACGTAATCAGGCGTGTGTCTACAAGAGATGGGGGATGTGACCGACCGGTCGCCGAGGGAGGGAGGGAGGGAGGGTGGTGCAGGGGGTCGCGCCGGGGCGAGCTGCTCTTATCCCTTCAACCCCCTTCTAGTCCACCCCTCCCCTCTCTGCCCCGCCCGGCTTCGGATCTGCGTAAGCTGTCCATTACATTGTCCTGGCGTAGGTACAGCACAGCCGGGCAGCACAGCGGCGCTGTCCGCAACGAGGCGGTTTTGCTGCCGTTTAATTTTTTTTTCTCCTTTCTTTTTCCTGTTCCGCCTTCATCCCCGCCGCCCTGTCTGTAGGGCCGCGAGAGGCCATTTACGGAGAGCGCGAGCCCTTTGTGAAAAGTAGGGTGGAAAACGACAAATGGGTTGTTAGGCGCCTGTGGAGGGGGTAAAAAAGGTCACGTAATCCTTTCGCTTTTGGGCTAAAAGAACAAGAGAAAATCCCTCTCCTCCTTTGCATCAAAAATTCCATTTCGCTTCTCAAATTTTGCCAAGGACATAATTTTTTTATACCGCGCGCACGTTTTATAACGCTACTTGAGCTGCCTGTCGTGCATCTAATTTAAAAGGGGTATTAATATTGCCAAGGTGCGAATATCGTAGCTGGGAGGCCTCTTGCGCCTCCACAAACAGTGCGCACTGTGTTCCGGCAGCCTGGCCCGGGCCTAATTCTCTCTCTGTCTTCGTTGACCGGAAGAGTTCGCCGGCAGGAGAGTGACGGGACGGGGGCGCTTTCGCTTCCCTGCCCCCTCCTCCCCCGCCCCCTCCTTTGCCGCTTCCCTTTCCTCGTCCTCCCCCCTCCTCTTCCTCTCCGGTTCTACTCGTGTTTGTTTTCCAATCAGCCCGAACCTGCTCGGCTCGCTCGCTGCCGGTTCACATATCCCTAGGCTGAGTTCGCGAGCTGCAACGCAACTC